TCCTGTCTGCTGCGGGAACAGAACTCTCTGACTCCTCAGTGAACTATCCGCTGTGTGAGGACACAACACGCACACATGCAGGGTTTGCTTTGGAGGAGCTTAGGCCCAGGAAGGAAGCCCGTCCTTGGGGGAGTCGCCCTCGAGAGTCAAGGATCTGGAGGTCACTCAAGACAAGCCAGTTAAATTTGACAGCCACCAGCAGAGAGGGCATGTGCAGGAATGAGCAGAATCTGAGAGCAAACATGCAATCTGCAAGAAGTCGAAACTCTGATGCTTAAAGTTGTCAATCACATTCAGCAACAGCTAGGCCTACAACACAGATCGTCTCTGACAGAGTTCATTCTTTGCATATCTAAACGCTAACCTTAAAGTGTTACCAAGCTCACAATAACAATGTTAACATGCAGAAGTTATTGGGTTTAGTGTTGATTAGCGTAGTGTTGTAGTTCTCAAATCTGTCTTTTTAATGTCTCGGCCTCGTCTTGGAATCTAAAGTTTTTCTCTGTCTTGTCTCGGTCTCAAACTGGGCACAAGACTACCACTGATGGGCAATTTTTTCCATGTCATCACTGTGATTAGAAGGAAACCCCCTCTTTCTAAAATAACAAATGACTTTTAGTAACAATTCATCCACAATTAGATTTTTGTGTTACAGCCTGAGTGACCCTCATCTCGCTGCACACAAGATGATGATTTTTCATCGATATTATGGTCTCGGTCTCGCCCTGTCTTGGTCTTCTCTCTGTCTCACCCTGCCTTGGTCTTGACTCGGTCTCGGCCCCTAAATGTCCCGGTCTTGTCTTGGTCTCGGAGTACTCTGGTCTCGGGTAGGTCTCGGTTAATGTGGTCTTGACTACAACACTAGATCAACGTTTAAGTTTGGCATGTTAGCATTAGCTCGTTACTTTGACATAATGTTCAGGTGAAGCTAATTGAATGAGGCACTTAAAGCTCCTTTGACGAACTTTGATTTTGTGTTGATTTTGGTGCCCCCTGTGGACAAACTGGCACATCAATCTATCTACCCATTTACCATTAAGGCTCATTTATGCTCTATATCCGATCCAGATACAAACAAAGCCTTCTTCTCGTACTCTGTTTCCGTATTTCTAAATATTTACTAGAAGGCTACGATATGAGCCAAGCATGTGCGTCAGACCCATTCTATACTTTTTCATCATCATTCATTTGGACCCCACTTTACTTTTACCGGGTCACAAACTCAGGAAATCTGGCACTCCATCCTTCACTATCTTCAGAGCACAGTTTAGACTTTATTTGGATAGGATTGTGGATAGATGAGGAAATCAGGGAAAGAGAGCGGTAATGAAATGCTTGAAAGGAGCCACGAGTTGGACGTGAACCCAGACTTCCAGCTTCAAGGACTAAAGCCTCTGTATGTCGGCACTAGTCACGACCCAACCACTAGGCCATCTGCGGCCCAAATGGTAGAACTTTTTGCGGAAAAAAGGCTAAACATATATATGATGTTAGGCTGCCCGGGTACAGGTACAGACAACAGCAGAACAGCCGGGTGGAGATCGGACGGGAACTGAATGTCAGAAGGACGCCAGCAAAAGGAGAAGTGAAGGTGTGTTTGAGAACGCGCCCTCTAGTTCTGTTTCTGCAGTGGGCTGTTCATTTCCTCGTCGGACACCGACCCCATAGCTGGCATGAACAATAACTGTAATCAGTCTTCTCTGTGATTAACTGTTTTTTTATTCACTCTGATTCATGATTGGATAAAAACTCTTCAAGTGTCGACCTTCTGATGGTTGAAAAAAGTCAGAGGGTCATGAAACACGCTGTATGTCTGTGCCAAATGTGTCCATCCATGCAACTAGATTTGGGAATCTGTAGTAGGACAGCCTCATTAAAACCTTCGATCAGCTGTGTCTGTGTCTAAATGAGAAGTCAGAAGTTCACTAAAGTCACAAGAACTCATCCTCTGAGGCCTCTGGAGGTCTGCAGCAGATTTCATGTCAATCTGTTAAAAAATGTATTTTAGATATTTGAGTCCAGACCAAAGTCGAGGAATAACCAACAAGATTCAGTCTGGCCATGGCTCGTTTTCTTACTGCCATCTAGTGGCAGCTTGTGTGAACTACAGCTAAGTGAAACGCACCACTTCTAAAACAACTTGGATTTTAAAGCTGCTGTATGCAACATTATTTCATTAGCATTCTTAGTTAAAGTGGTGTATTTTGATCTTTGAATATAACTTGTAAAATTCAATTCATTGAAATGTTCCTCTTTATTGTCCCAGAGGGGCAATTAGGTTTGCACTAAAAGAGATGGACCACTCTGGAAGTACCAATAATGACTGAGCTCATCACAACTTAGGGGTCATAAACGGCATCATGGGAAATGTAGGAAACAGCCCTATCTGGTGTATTTTGATCTTTGAATATAACTTGTAAAATTCAATTATTGAAATGTTCCTTTTATTGTCCCAGAGGGGCAATTAGGTTTGCACTAAAAGAGATGGACCACTCTGGAAGTACCAATAATGACTGAGCTCATCACAACTTAGGGGTCATAAACGGCATCATGGGAAATGTAGGAAACAGCCCTATCAGAACTTTCTCCCTGACCAAGACAAGAAACAAAAGGTCAGGATATCTCGACCTTGTTTTCAATCTTTATCAGATATTATGTTTTGACGAGGGGTGGCTGAGCATCAGGCGGTGGTTGTGGGGACGACTCAGTCCGGTGGTGGTAGCTGGGCGTGAGGGACGTCGGGTGGTAGTAGTGCTGGATCACCTTGCTGAAGAATTACGCTACACTTTCAACTCTTTTTGATCTCTTTGTTTTCATTTATCAACCTTGTTGTCTTTTTATAGTCTTAAGTTACAACACCAAAGAATTAAAGCAATGAGGTGGTCCAATGTTAGCCCACAAAGAATGCTATTAATCAAAATCAATTATTTAACAAAAACCAGAAAAAGAACAAAAACATTTGTTATAAATTCAAAGTGTGAATGTCTGTGTGCAGTCTGCTGGGCTGGATCTTTGTTTTTATTGAAACTAAGACATATTTTTGTTCTGTCGTTATCTTTAAGGCCACTCGGAGGAAAGACAAGGTCAGGGCAGACATTCAGACTACACACACGCACAGACACACAAGGACGTCACAATAAATCCAATCACATGTCTCTCAAGGACACACAGTCCCAAACATAAAGCCATTTGACAATACAATCCATCACAAAAAAAATCTCTCAAAGTAAGTCGCAAAGATTTTAACTTGAGTCTTGAATCTGTTACATTTAAGTGATTCTGTTTCCATCAAACTGATACGTCAAATCAAGCCAACAGAGAGCTTCAACAGACTCTCAGTTTGACAATAAGTAGTTTTGGCAAAAGTAAAACATGTCTGCCATGTGTGCTTTGAGGCTGTTTACAACTTGCATTAATTTAGAGCCAAGTAAGACTCAAATCTATTTCCAGAGTTTAAAAATCAGTGCACACAGATTTGATATTTTTCTTTCCTGATCCTCAGTAGTTTTGCTTCCGTCCTGGGTGATCTGATGGCATGTGGACTGCTCGATGTGAACACACCCCGATGCATCCTGAAGATGATATGAGAGCTCAGACCACATAGACTGATTTAGTAGTGAAATAGCTAATGTGTCCTGCACAGCATTACAATTGACCTATTATTCTGATCCCCATTTTCAAAGCTCACATATAGTGTTACAATGCACATACTAAACATGGGGAAAGCTCCAGATCATGAGGTAAATGTATGTTGCCGTAATCCCAGGATACGTCTGCAGAGGGCGCTAAATGGCTTGTTGTGACAGCTCCTGGATATGAAAACAAGAACTTCATGAGACAGCTTCAAGCCTCTACATAAGCCGGTGAAACCTCTTAGCAGTGGAGAGCTGCCTTCCCCTTGCAGCCCTGCAGCATTCTGCCCCTGGAAGGCTTCCAAGGAGCTGGCCAATCAGAAGAAAGTGGGCACATGGGGAGGGGGGGGGCTTAAAGAGACAGAGGCTGAACAAACTGTTTAAGGTTGAAATGAGGGTTTTTACTGACGCCAGTTTTCGATGAATAAGGAGGTTTTTGAGCTGCTAATCATGTAAAGCTGCTCTAAAGGTTTCAGTCTGACAACATGAAAGGTTAACATGAGGAGAATACGGGATCTTCAAGGACGAGCTGGGAGAACAATACCGCCTCATTCAAACTTTATAAACTGAAATGATGTGCAGGCGCTTTTATAAGTTCCGATCTCTAGTACTCAACAGAGAGGCATTGTTAATGCAAAGTGTAAACGCACATGCTTATGTTCTGTCCACTTGTTATCAGATCACGCAGGAATAATGTTGATGCAAGGTGTAAACAGCCTGAACGTTCCAGCTGGTCAGAAGGGATTAGGGCCCGATTGATATAGGATTTTGAAGACTGATACTGATATCGATATGGGGGGGGGGGTCTGATAACGATATATCAGCCGATATCTTTCTTAGATCTATCTTTGATCTGTAGAGATAGATAGATAGATATAGATATACACATTTATTGTGTTAATCCCTCAAATGCAGTTATCAAACGTGTTGAAAAGATTTATAACAAAGACAAGATGGTCACTCAACTGAAAAGTACCTGTGCATGTACATGCATCATCGCTTGACATCCTGGTGAGTGATAATGCTTGTTGTAATCCATATAGCGCCTTCTGCTGGTGAAAGAGAGCTGCTAGTGTTATACAATGATACTCAAATGAAATGCTATTTGACTGGTGAATTAATCGAGTAATATCGGCGCATATCTGTGCTCAAATTAGCCGATACCGATAGCCACTTGATATGCTAATATCGGGCGATATTATCGGCTGGTGGATTTATCGGTCGGGCTCTAGTAGGGGATGTATCTCTAGACAGAAAGCGTAACACAGTTGAGGAGGGACTAAGTTCAGAGAAGAAACTCCAAAAACTGAGTTAATTATCTACATTATTAGCTACATGATGTTTAAAGACAAACAAGCAGCTGGAAAGTTTTAGAGAATTGTAAACTGGATCTGTTGGCTTTATTAAGACTGGTGATCAAAGAGTTTGAGCCCTGTTAGGAATGACATGTTATGACAAAGACATGTTCTGGTGCTGTGCTCTCCTCATGTCTCACAGCGAGGTTTCTTTTGATTCAGGCATTACGGGTTTGAAGGTCAGGATCTCTGTGAAGGTGTGACCTGAAGAAAGACGCAGAGTGAGACACGGATCAGTGCAACACAACAGCTCATATCGTCTTTTTATCGTCTTTTTTTATCAGTGCAATAGTTCATCCTTACGTTTCCACAAATTCAGCTGCATGTCAGTGTTGTCTATCGAGTGGTCGTACGGCTGAGCCTCCGTCTCCTCCTCTGGTTCTCTGAACTCTTTGAAGTACGGCAGCGAGAGCGCCTCTGCAGCCGTCACCCTCTGCTCCGGATCCAGCAGTAACATGCGCTCCAGCACAGACACGGCTGAGGAGACAAAAAGAAAAGGAGAATCAGGGAAATAAATCCCAGTTTGACCGTCTAACCCAAAACAGATCAAACAGAAAGGCTGAGCACGTCCTACCTTGTGGGTTAGTCGAGGAAAACACCTTGTGGAGGTCTTTCTTTTCCTCTTTTGAAAGACTTTTGAGGTAGCTTTTCGCCTAAGAGAATACATTCATAAATCAGATGTAACAGTGACAGAACTGTGATTTTATGTTTCCAGAATATTTGGGTCCTGCAACAAAATCAGAGAGTAAATTTTGAAGATTGGATCTGAACTCACGTCCTCAGATTCTAGTTTGGATATAAATTCCTGCGTCGGTGTTCCTGTGATCTTCATGATCTCAGAGAGTTGATCTAGATCTGAGGAAAACTGGTCAAGGGTAAAACTGGAAAATTAAAAAAACATATGCATGATCGTTCTTTGAGATTAAAGTTTGCACATGCAACAAACTGCTCCCTGATTTTTTGCTTTTTGTATCTGCAGTCATAAACATTTACACCACTCAGCTCAAAAAACATGAACCTCCTGTTCTTATCATGAGTCGGGCGATGATAAAGGATACGGTCGCTGCCTTTAAAAAGAGGTTTTCCTTGCAGCATCTCAGCCATGATGCAGCCCACTGACCAGATATCCACTGAGGAAGAAGCAGAAAAACAAATGGTAAATGGACTTGGCCTTCTATAGTTCTTTTCTTATTCTGACTACTTAAAGTATTTATCTCCTCACAGAGCCACTGCAATGTAAGAAAGGATGTTAAGAGATCATCACCTAGTGGATAAATCTAGGTAGTACATCTTAATCAACTGAGCAAAGATGTCTCTTGAAGCCTTTTGTCAACTTTGAGCTCAGTTTGTTCATAAAACATATATTTCTGAGTCTGTTGAACTGTCATCATGTGTGTTTTGAAGTCTTTCTAACATAGAGCTACAAAATATGTTTTAAGCTGCTGTCTTTTCACTACCATCATGAGAGATCTCTTATAAATATGCATCAAAAATTTCAGTTAGGCTGTCGATGAAATCCTCCTGACTTACATTCCTGTTGGGTAAAAAGGGGCGGGGTCTCAGGAGGAGGTGCATGGCGTAAAAAAACATGGCACATGAAGCAGTAGAGTTCGTCGCAATGACGACAATGTTTGCCTTTATCTCCAAGTATACCCGTTCTCTGTGTAGTTAAACACACTCACAGTTTCAACAAAAGAGCGGAGAAATCAGACAGCCAAACAGAAAGCATAATAAAGAAATTTAAATACGTGCACAGAGATCATAACAGATGCACGCATACAGTCCGTGTTGGTCCAAATGGCTTTGGGTGAATTTTCATGAATATTTCCTGCTGTGTTCTAACATCAGCTCACCTGTGACTTCATGCGGCTCATTAACCATGGGATTGGTAAAGAAAAAGTCAAGGTGAATTGTGTTCACACATGCAGCCCACTCCGAAGTTTATTTAGAAGAAGCAGAACTTTCCTGTCTGTTGCTTCAATCAAGCAGCTAAACGAGACGAGCAGGAAGTCTTTTTAAAGAGCAAAAAAAGCTTCAAAACCTCGGCCCGTTCTTCTGTGGGTTGTAAAGGTCATTCTGGGAAATGTAGTGATCACCAGCTTGAAGCAGAAGCCCTGATTGGGGGGCAAGTGAGTACACTAAAACATCCATTTACTGCTACATCACATGAAAAGGCAAGGGCTCGGTGCTAATAGGGAGCACCGAACACGACGCAGAGATAAAACATGACAGCATGAGTGGGTTTTTTTCCCCTTGAATTAGCTCTTCATTACCGGTCTGAGTGTAGTGCATCCAGCTCAGGATGACCTCCGGGGCTCTGTACCAGCGAGTCACCACATAGCCCGTCATCTCGCTGTCCGCCTGCCGCGCCAAACCAAAGTCCAAGATCTGACAGAACACGAGATGAAAAAAATCAGACCCAGACACATTTACATCTGCTCACACGGAGCTAACAGCTCTGCTAATAAGACTGCAGGGAAATGTAGAGCTGGCAGAGAACGTGCAGAGCAATGCGTGGAGGGTTTTATAGTTAGAGTTTGACCTTTTTATAACATAAATGATGAAATGACACATGATGGCTTTTGTTTGTTTGGTTCAGCAGAGAGAGCAAGTCTCTACCTTGAGCTCACAGTCTTGATTGACAGCGAGGTTTCCTGGTTTGAGGTCCTGCAGGTAATCAAAAGAAAACACTTATTATGATGTGTTGCATGCGCAGGGACGTGTCAAGACTTTTTGGACTGGGGTTGCTCAAATGAGGAATTGACTTCTGCAGGGGTGGCCTGAGGTGTGATGTGCGCCCACATTTAAATAATGATAATTAACCCTTTCTGACTTCAACAATCAGATCTACTTTATAACACGGGATAATGGAAACATAAGCTTATATTTTTAATGACACAAAGAGAAGATTTATGTTCAAAGTCATAATTCAAAGTACTTTAAAAAGTGCATGCAAACTCCTGCATTCTCTTATTTGTGAAATTACATGAATTGGCATGTGCATTACTTTCCTATGCACCTGATTTATGAAATACAAGATCTTTATTTACAATTTCAAGTAGGAACAAAAGAAAATATGCTACACTGATATATAAAGAAAAATACAAGCAGCCTTTGCAAAAAAAGACCGAATAGGCCCTGTGTCCATCTAGCATTTCTTTTTCTGCAGAAAAGCGCTGGCTGTGCTCAGAGCACATGTATGAAGGGTTTGTGCAATGAGAAGCAAAGCGTTGCACAAGGAGGATGAGGGTACAAGACACGATCTGTAGGCGGAAAAACTACAGGGAATATCATACATCTGGAAAAAAAGTTGCTGGGTCCTGCGCTTTTTCTCCAGACGACTGCCTGCTGCTGCAAACGCTCTCTGGCGCTGGTGCTCAGAAAAAAAAACGCAAGGTGGACATGTGACCATAGTTTAGGATAGTTTAGGATTTTGGGGTGTGCCACCTTTGGACACGCCCCTGAGCATGCGTAACATTAAATCGTGTCAGGGGGATAAATATTATGATACACAAACAGTAAAATTAACAATCATGTTAGAGTTTTGTCTCACACACACACACTGGAAACAATAAACAGACAACTTACCCTGTGGATTATCCCGGCAGAATGAATATACTGTAATAAAAGAGTATAATAAAAGAATTACTCGACGCAGTAAAGTAATAAACTGTCCATGTTGTTCAATCACAGTCGAGTTCTCCACCTTCAGGCCTTTGAGCGTCTGATAAACCAAATACTGAATCTTTTCCTCCGACAGCCGCTGCAGCCTCATCAACTTCCCCAGATCCGTCCCCATGAACGGCATCACCAGGTAACTGCAGGGAGACGGACTCACGTTATCAGCAGGACTTTTAAAAGCAGGTTCAAGCACAGGTACATACAGGGTTAAAGTCCTGCAGCAGGGAGGGAAGCATAAAGTGCACTAACAAGTCATTGAACATGTCGACAGAGAGGTCAGCGGTAAACACGTCCAACAGGCCGATCACCTGCAACAGAAAGGAAAACATCATTTAATCCTTTGGCTCATTTTGAACCAGGAAATGCTGCATGCTTGAATGTCATGTCTCTCTCTCTTCACACTAAATATTACATAAAAAGGGATTTTCCTACATCTACATCTTCACACAGCTGGAGGGAATTTGGATGGAAAAGCATCCTGAGATTCAGAAGAGGTTTATTCTAGGACTGCCCAAAACTGACGTCTAACTGGGAATACTTTTATAACTGTTTAGACACTGTATTTCAAATCTTCATTCCTTTCAATGCTCTGATGATATATTATATGTATTCAGTGGAGAGCAGACAAATACTTTATGAGAATATCACTCAGCGGAGAGAAGAAAGCCCTGAAGAGGAGGTGGTTATAACCAGACGCTCCAACATTAGAGGACTGGTTAAACGTTGCTTTAATTACCTCACTAAGTACCTGTGAGTGTGACATCTTTTGTTTAGATTTTGTTAAAAGTCAAATGAAAGGGAGAGCAACAGCTGGAAGAGGACTTTTTAGTTGAGACGTGGCCTGAAGCATTTATCCGTGCGATGTCTGTGTCATCATGTATTTATCACATGTTAATATGTGAAGAGATTTCTGCATATCTTGTGTATGACCTCCCTGATGTAAAATATAAAAATGATTAAAAAAAAAAAAAAAAATCGTCTTTCAGTGCTGAGGGTCTAGATCCCTTAACACAGTGGTTCTCAACTGGTGGGTCGGGACCCAAAAGTGGGCTGCAGAGCCATTTTAAGTGGGTTGCAAATATTGTGCCTGGAGCACCTACTGGGGCAGCAGTAGCTCAGTCTGAAAGGACTTGCGGGGTTGGGAACCAGAGGGTTGCCGGTTCAAGTCTTGTTCAATGCCGACCATAATATGTATGTTGGTCTGGTAGCTGGAGAACAAGGGAGCTTCACTGCCTAGGTGCCCCTGAGCAAGGCACTGAACCCCCAACAGCCCTGGTGCGCTCCCTGCGTAGCCGTGTGTAGCAGCCTCACTCTGACAGCTCTCCACTAATGCACGTCCACAGGTCCTGTGTGTGCATGTGTGTGAAAGGCATGTCTCTTAATACCAGAGAGTAACACCAGAATTTATTTCCCTCACAGATTAATAAAGTATTTTTTTTTAAAACGGGGTAAAAAAAAAGTTTTTAAACATGTTTGTTCAAGTCTGTTTCTTTGTTCTTAACTATGTTTTGTCTGTACAAACTGTCATATAATAATTCTGATTAGGTGAAAAATATCAGAAGTTTTCATGATGGAGTCGGAGGTGGGTCCTGGTGCTAGTCCAGTCGAGAATCAAAAAACCCCGCCTTCTGTGATTCCCCTTTACCTGACTGTTACCTGCATGGGCGGGGCTAAAGGGCCAATCCAGCTCACCTGTGTCATCTCTCTCAGAACCATGGGGCTGTCTGCAGCATGTGGACACCTCATCCTATGATAAGTTTTCCTTTTGTTTAAAATATGTTAGAAGCCTTTTAACACTTTGTGCTCTCCATTAATTTAGAAGCAGTTGTTTATTTATTTGTTCAAGATATTTTTTGGGCCATTTTTGACAGAAGACAGGAATTGTTGGAAGGAGAGAGTGGGGGATGACATGCAGCAAAGGGCTGAGGTTGGATTTGAGCCCATGGCCAAGGTGATGAGGTCTACAGCCTGTGCACCACATAACCACTAGTCTACAGGAGCCCCTTAGAAGCTGTTATGTTGAAGTTATGTAAGGTTATTAGAGAATGTTTTATGGTGATGCACCGTTGTTGGATCTGGTTGTGGTTTAGATTTAGATGTATAGATGAATCCTTTGATGTCAGACAAAACAGTTTAAAACTACAGAAAATAAAAGATTAGACTGGCACTCATCATCTGTGCTCCTTCATTCTTATCGACAAAACATTGATTGGAATGAATCCTTGAACTAGTGTACCCTGAGAGAGTTATCGGATTCCCTATAATCAAGTATTCTCACATTCTCATGTTTCATATGTTTTAGCAGCTTCAGCTCTCTGAACGCTCGCTTGGCAAACAGCTCCGACTGGAAAGGTCTGTACAGCTTCTTGATGGCCACTTTGCTTCCTGATCTGACGTCGACTGCTGAGCTGAGGAACGGACAGAAAATATGAGAGTGTGAGTCTAGGGCTGGGCTATATGCACATCAATAAATATCATTATAAATAATAAATAAATACAATTCTACAATTCATTTAGCAGACGCTTTTATCCAAAGCGACGTGCATCAGAGAGTAAGTACAACACAAGCAAGGATCTAGAAAAGAGGAAACAACGTCAGTGAGTGCAATGAACATCTTAAAGTACAGTAAGACACACAGGTGCTGACAGGAAAGGACCAGAGTCAAAGCACAACATCGATGGATGCTCTTTAGTTCTAATCAGCATCAGCATAAAATCATCGTTATCAAACAAAACCATCTTCATCATCATCATGAAGGTCGTAGGTGTTCATAAAGAGCTGTGTCTTTGACTTTTTCTTAAAGGTGAAAAGGGACTCTGGAGATTGAATGCGTTTGGTAGTTCGTTCCACCACCGGGGGGCGACAGAGGAGAAGAGCCTAGTTAGAGACTTAAGACCCTGTTGTGAAGGTCGGATCAGACGCCTTTCATTGGCAGAGCGTAGTGGGCAGAAGGGAGTGTAAACAATAGTCTGTAAATAGTAATGGGTGAAGCCAGAGTGACGTCACCCATCTGTTCCTGCAGGAGCCTCCGGAGGCTCATTGGAAGCCACCGCCATGTTGGAAATCCTGTCTCAGCCTAATTTTCAGTCAACCTAACGACAGGCTGAGAGTGGGAGCTGAGGCGGGTTTTAAGCCTCTTGATGAACCGTTACATCATTCCCACATGTCAATCATGTCAGATACGCGCCTAAATATGAATAACATGTATCATTTTACAGCTGGAAAGTGATGCACTATATATATATATATATATATATATATATATATATATATATATATATATATGTTCAGGATTAAAAAAGTCAGTTGACTCAGTTCTAAGTCATATCCTCATGAGCCAAATGTCACGCACTTTTATGAACAGTCAACATCTCAATATGAACGATATTGTCTTATCCTATATCTTTTTTAAAGAGGAACAAACCCAGGATCTCGACATCATGGTACCAGAATTTTTAACTTATGTACGACTCAAGTAAAACTGAAACGACAGAGATACTTCGGCAACTTATAGACACCAGTATTATGTAAAATCTAGTTTTGAGTTACTAAAAAACTTGCAGTCAAACACCTGCACGCTTTTTAAATTGCACAAAAACAGTGAAAAGGAGGTGCCGCCATAGTAATGTCTCAGTGTCGACTGAAGCTGTGGTGGAGGGGCCCAATGTGAGATCTTTTTATGGGACCCAGAAATCCAAGCAACGTCCCTGAACACACGCGCGCGCGCACACGCACACACACACACACACACACACACACACACACACACACAGAGAGAGAGAGAGAGAGCGAGAGAGCTCCCTATCATATTCCCTGTTCCTCCCCTTCTAGTCCCGACAATGTTCAGTCTCCATCTCCTGCTTATTGTTGCACATTCATATTCTCTGAGCTGTTCATGTGTTATTAAGTTGTTTGAGTCAGTCAGAGCAGTTTCGTCTCCGCCCCCAGAGTTAATGATTGATAACAGAGGGGCTTTGAGACGGGCTAAAAAGTGCCTGATATGCTGCTCTTCATTGTTGTGTTTCTGTAAACTTATGAAGCGAACCCTGCAGCACCCACGTGTGCTGCTTCATAATTCAACATCTTAGAGGTGACATAGGTGACAGAAAAGGTAAAGTGAAAGTGTGAAAGTCTCCATCCTATCAGGAAGTGAAGTGAAGCACACACTACACTTTTTCTTTTGTTCGGCTGGCACAGCGCGGCTGTCTCTATGAAGCCATCTGTTCTGTGTCTTTCTTTGTTCAAACCACACACGCACACACGCACGCACACACACACACACACACACACACACACACACACGCACACACACGCACGCACACACACACACACACACACGCACGCACGCACGCACGCACACACACACACACACACACACACACACACACACACACACACACACGCACACAACAGCGCGATCTGTGCTAATAGCCGCTTCAGTGTCGCGGGGATCACTTACCACACCGTCCCGTACGCTCCGGTCCCCACCTGCTTCAGCTCCCGGTACCGCTCCGGTACTTCCCATGACGTTTTGTTCACTTCTTGGCGGTAATATCCGGGTCTGACTCGCTTAGTCATTTTATTTCTTACAGATAGAATAAAAGTAGTCCAGGAGAGACTGTTTGTTTTGTTGTTTTGTCTCCTCTGTCGCTACACACCCATTGTCCCACATCCACCTATGCGCGCAGCCTCGATCATTGCGCAGCCGATGTGTGTGTGTGTGTGTGTGTGTGTGTGTGTGTGTGTGTGTGTGTCGGTGTGTGTGTGTGTGTCGGTGTGTGTGTTTGTGAGCCGCTCAGGGCGCACCCTCAGGTCACCGAAAGCCACTCCCGAGTCTCGCTACAGGACTACAATTAAAGGACAGAAGAAGACTGGTATGTGAGTACCACGAGACCGGACCGACAACCTGACTTTGAAATGTGTGGGCGAACAATTGAAATAAAAACCTTACAGTCTGCGATGCTACGGTCTGGTTTCATGTGACGTTCACTGTAGTCTGCGTTCCTCATGTTCTGTGCAGCAGAGGGTTCAAATATCTGAGACCTGCCGGGACATGAAGCTTTCTGTCGCCCCGGGGTGCAGACGCAGAGTTGCGTAAAGACGTGCTAGAGTTTATCAGGCATCCAGGAAACAGAAGAAGGAAACCATGATATAAATACTCGAAATATGACGCTGACTAAATTACAATCGTATCAACAGAAGTCAGGCCTCTTATCAGTACGGAGGAATGGCAACATTAGTACATTTGTTTTGCAACTCAGAAACGTGAAGGTAGGGTTCAGCTTTCAGCATGAACACTCAAATAGGTCTGCATTTAGTGGGATATATTAAGTCTTTAACTGAGGGAGAACTCAACTTAGGAACATTACATACAAATATAAACTCTGACACGTATTTCTGCAGAGACATTTGATTAAACAAACATAAGTGGGCAGGGGATTGTTCATCTTATGTTAGGATGGTTGATTTGAAGCATAGACTGCATAAAAAGACAGACAAAACAACAGCCCCCTAAAGGTGAAGCCAAAAGATTTGGAGCTCCCTCTACTGACTGGCTGCAGTATTGGTCTTAAAACCTGCCTCCTCCATGTTAACAGATGGATATGGGTCAAACTTTAAAACTCAAACACCAGTTTTAAAAAAATGATTATTTTCTTCTCAGATCCCGATTTAGATTGAAGTGCAACAGTTCATCTTTCTGAGAAGTTTATTTTTATTTAGTTTTTAATGAATTAAAAAAGGGGTAAAACACTGTGATTGACAGCTCTGTTGATGAATGAGACTCCTGCATTGCTGTGTGCACTGGATTATCAGAGTAAAGGAGGAATGGTGAGAGGAAACAATGAAGATGCTATGAGATATGAAAAATCATGGCACATCACACACTACAGGATTCTACTAAAATTATCGTGCCCGACGGAGGAACACACCACCTCATGTGACCTTAAGTAAACAATGGAGATGGCTGTTAAATTTGCCATTTAAAGTTTTGTGCAGAAAGGACAAAAAAACTAAAAAGTTTTGGGTGAAGAAATGACTGAGTAGATACGTACAACATGGATTGTGTATTTTTCAGTTAAAGCATGGAGGTTAGATTCTAACTGTCAGATGCTTTACAGTTGTCCGGCACACCTTTGCAGGTCACCACATCATTACTGTCCTTCTTCGTCTCTCTCTGTGATTGAAGTCAAACACAACTTCTGCCAAACCCTTTCATGACATAGTCGCCAAGATTTTAAATCCTAAATATCAAACTAGTTTGATACAAATCGGGGTGTCGCCGACTATCTCCGAGCAGATCAGGGACGTTAAGATCAGATCTTTATACGACTTCGGTTGCCTTGAGTCAGGAACACCCACTGCGATTGTTGGGAAGGAGGAATTGTCCGGATTATCCTGCATTCTGAGCCAGGCTTAACACAAGTTGTTGTTACTTTCCATAACCGTGAATGTCTGCTACAAACTGACACAAGAATCTGCTGTGGACTGAACCCACCTGAGGGATCTTTGACTTTTTATAAGGATGTAAGATGTATGCTTCGGTTAGTGGAAGAGGCTTGGCGTCTATTCTGCGGCTCCACCAACCAGCTTCCCTCTGCTAATTCTGTATCCAAATGATGTCACCTGCACAATATGACAGCACCCGTCGCCGGGGTTTTTTTTTTTTATATTCTATTTTGTACAATTTAAGGAGATGGAGACGTGACATCCATTTTCATATACGGTCAATATTTTGCGGTGATGCTGATTATTATTTTAACAACACTGGAGATGAGAGTTGAAACATCCCAGTGAAGTAGATGTACAGCTATAATATTATAAGATATATTTTAGGCTCTGGTTATCTTATAAGAAGAGCAGCCTGCGCTAAAAAGAGGAATGTGGAGAATCTTGTGAAGTTATACTTTCATAAAAAAAATAACTGAATACTTCCTAAATGTAATGAGCTGTCTGCTCCTCTGATATCCCCTCTTTTAAAATGAAGTATAAGCCAGGAATATCTAATCAAATATTAGATCGGTCTGGTCACTGAAACAAAGGTAGGTTCACCAAATAGTTTAACCTGCAAATAATTCATCATTCAAACATCTTAAACTCTCCCCTGACTCACTTGTTTTCTCCCGCTGTGTAGTGAAAAAAAGTCATTAATACTTCCAGCCACTAGGTGGCATCAAAGCATTAGCATTCTAACTTCAAGCTACAGTCTTATTTTCATGGTTGGACTGTGAGAGGCAGTCTAGAAGAAGACGTAACAGTGTTGTGTGTAAATGGTAAATGGACTTCAGCTTGTATATTTCTTTTCTAGTCTTCTGACTATTCAAAGCGTTTTTACACTGCAGGTCACACCTACACATTCACACACTGATGGCAGGGGTTAGTTAGATATAGATAGATACTTTATTGATCCAGAGGGAAATTCTGTAGTGAGACCATCAGAAGTAACTAATCCTCCCATTCATATGTATTCATATGCCGCCAACAAAGCAGTGGGAGCAATTTGGGGTTAAATGTCTTGCCCAAGAGACCGAGACGACAACTCTGCCAACTGAGCCACAGCCGCCCTGTGTACGTTAAAGTCTTTATTAAAAGTCAATGGTCAATAAAATCTTGATGAATATTTCTCATTGTTCTATTTGTTTTAATGAAGACATAACTGTTTCTCTCTATCTCTAAAGTCTGCTTGCTGCTCTGTGTGTATCTGTTGATCTGAGTTAAAGATTGGCCGAGCACAGGATTTCAACTTATGCGCAATAATAACCATTCCAGCATGTGTAGAGCACTTTAAGTTTTATAACTTAGAGTAAATTATGTCTTAAAGAGCCCATATTCTGCCCTTTTTGGGGTTCATATATTTAATCTATGTTCCTACTTTTGTACGTTCACAATAGCTAAAGTCTGAAAAAAGTGTCTGTTTTCATGTACTGCTCCTCCTTGCTCCCTCTACGCTCTGAGTCTGTCAGCTACGCTCTGTTGAGCCCACACTGTTAGACCCCACGTGGGCCAAGTCTGCTCTGATTGGTCTGCCGATTCGCTCTGTCGTTATTGGTCAGTTGCTCAGCACGCTTCAAAATCGAAATTCGAAATTTCAACATGAGCTGCAGGGCTTGCCACAACGAGCCAATGGGCTTAGATCAGTGATCTCACACTGACAATGATGCCACACTTGACACATTTTTATCGAGGGGGGCTAGAACCGAGCGTTACATGCGTCCTCCTGTTAGACGTAGGAGAAGCCATGTTTCTGAGACTTTTAATTTTTGCACATAGATGTGCTTAAACATGCACCGGACACTTGGAAAACACACTATATATATATATATATATATATATATATATATATATATATATATAAATATAAAAACCAGAAAAAGCATAATATGAGACCTTTAAACTCTAATCCGATGAGCTGATTGTCAATAGGCAAGGCAGGTTACTGCTTCGGGCCCCAGGCCAGTGGGGGGCCCCTATGGGCCGACAAATTTAAACCACAGCAGAGGCTCAAAATGATCTAATTTTGCAAAGACACTAGGAAACCTCCCTAAAGAGGACCCCTTTTAAAACAAGACTGTTTGGCTGCTCAAGTCTGACAAGAGAGCCAGGCTGCAGCCACACCCGACTAATTTAAACTGCCTAGCGTGCTCCACACTCCTGTCCACTAGGTGGCGGTAATGTACCTTCACGCTGGTTGTCAACCGCAAAAAAACCTAAAGAAGTAAACACGCGGGAAAAGTTTGTTTGAACGTAACTATCTCATCTTCTAGACTTGTATGCTGTCGAAATTCACGTTCAAGTTTAATAAAACAACAACAATGTGTTCAGCTGAGAGTCTGAGAGAGTTTGTCAACGAGTGACTAGCGGCTGCTGCGGAAGACATTTTTGTAGTTTTTAAAATAACTATCGTCGAGTACGAGGAAGAAATCGATCGTCAGCGCAGACTGCGGGATATAGATTTGAAACCTCAAATCAACTTTCACAGAACAGGTGAGGAACTGACTAATGACACAAAAAATGAATGGTAAATGTCACAGTATTATATGCTACGATGGCAGAGAAGTGCAAACACGAAGCATGAGCCCCAAAACATTTTCATTAAGAAACGGGCTTCCTGTAAAAAAACTTATTTGATTTCCAGCTCTTATATAGGGTGAATTAGCCAAATGTGTGACACTGCCTAATGTGGGACACCTAAGCTCAAGTGGGTGTAGGTATTCCTACAACAAATGAAAGTCAATAAAACTAAGGGTTAACACAAGTTGTGATGTCATGTGATCAAAATAACATGACTTCTCAAATGTCCAATCATAGATTAGAATGATACAAGCTTCAAAAAGGAAGTACAGCATGAAGACCACCCAAAGGTCAGAGACATACTGTTTAGACAAACTTAATGTTAAGGATATACATTTCTTATGAATAAAACAATCCTCCTTTTTCTATCTGGATGTTTTTATGATGTGCTTGTTCATCAAAAAATATTATATTATGTTGTAAACAAACCCTATATTTGTTATTTTAAATTAAAATTTCCTTTGTCCCACTTAAGGAAAAATGGGACACTATGATTTATCTAATGTGGGACAGTTTTTTGCATTCAAATATGCCTGTTATGATTGTATGCATTTCCTGTTTAGTGGAGCTATTTGTTGGCTTATTGGTAGTTTTTTCCATGCTGAATGACATATTTTTAAGAAACCCAAGTACATCTCTGGTAAAGATACGATTAAATTGGTTATGTTGCATATTTCTATGTGGAAATACACAGTTTTGAAGACTAGTCGATCAATTAGTCAATTAGTCAACAAAATAGTATTGGTGTTAGTTGGCTAAGCATTCTTTTGTTCAGGACAGACATATGGAATAGAAAATATTTAAAAATTTTAACATAGTAACATTACAATTCTTTAAATAAATTAATGCATAAAATGTTCATTACATTCTGCTTTCTCTGCATGTCAGATATGGTGATATAATAGCCTATTGTCTTTCTACTAAATGCATCAAAACTATTATTGTCCTTTTTTAGTGTTTTGTAACACCAATAACATTGTAAATGGTAAAATTACAGAACATTGGATTGCACATTTTAGACTTGAGTGTGACAGACTTGAGAGGTTTTCATACTTGAAATAAGGTGATTTAGGCCTTTTAACATAGACTTTTCAGTGTCCCACATTTAGAACAGCACCGTCCCACATTAGGAAATGCAGATTGTCCGAGACAATTTGGCACTAAGACTACTGATATGGGATTTCAGAGTGGTACTGGGTGAGGATTTAATGTATAGCTTCATGTTGCAATACACCCCAGAAGTCTAAAATGCAAAAATTGTCCCACATTAGGCCACTTCACCCTAGGTATAGTATATTAGTTATTGTGCTGTAAAAACAAACAGTGCCAACTAACAATACTTAATGCAAATGGGGGAAGTATCCCTTTAAGGAAACATGCTATGTTGAAGTGCTGAATGGTCTGGATTTGTTTGGACAAGAGAAGGTAGGCAGTTTATGGCACCCCCACACGGCCATTTAGGATGCCCCTTGATTTTCCAGATATAGTATATATTATTCCAGATAATGAAATACAGATTAAACATACCAACCTGCTATGTGACACATGCACACATCACAGTTGTGATGTAAAAACTAAATTACATTCAGCCCTATTTCCAGTGCAGCACATCTTTGTTTATGGATAATTGTCTGTGTCAATCTTTCTGAAGTTCCTACCTTTCAGTCACTTTGTTGTTGTGGGACACTTTAGTAAATGTTTCGTTTGTGTTCCTCCAGATGTTCCACAGCAACATGTCTGTAAGGAGGAGGAGGAGGTTTTGGTCGACCAGCAGCTCTGTAATCAGGAGAGGAACTCCAGTCCAGACCAAGAGGAGCCAGAGCCTCCACAGATTGAAGAGGAGCAGGAGGAACACTGCAGCAGTCAGGAGGGAGAGCAGCTCGTACTGAAGGAGACTGACACATCCATGTTGACTCTTACTCATGAGGAGAGAGACCACAGTGAAGCACAACTACTAAATGAACATCAGCCCATTTCTAACAGCTCGCATGATGCTGAAGATCAAGATCCCACAGAAAGTGAGCACATCAACAAGGGACTAACTTCTGCTGAAGACAAATTTGTAGTTTCAAAAAATACTAACGTTGAGTATGAGGGAGGGATCGATTGGAAGAGCAGACTGCTGGATATCGTTTGGAAACCTCACATCTACCTAAACAGAATAGGTGAGGAAAAAGCAAACTATGCTAAACTAATGCAAAGGGAGTTAGGGTTTATATTTGCTTCCTGTGGCAATGTAATCATTGAGAATAATGGAGAACAAGAATTTTAAAAAAAAACTACTGAGATATAACGCCTCAACATACTCTGCATTCTTCATTTTACTGTATTTCGTTTGTGTTCCTCCAGATGTTCCACAGCAACATGTCTGTAAGGAGGAGGAGGAGGTTCTGGTCAACCAGCAGCTCTGTAATCAGGAGAGGAACTCCAGTCCAGACCAAGAGGAGCCAGAGCCTCCACAGATTGAAGAGGAGCAGGAGGAACACTGCAGCAGTCAGGAGGGAGAGCAGCTCGTACTGAAGGAGACTGACACATCCATGTTGACTCTTACTCATGAGGAGAGAGACCACAGTGAAGCACAACTACTAAATGAACATCAGCCCATTTCTAACAGCTCTCATGATGCTGAAGAGCAAGATCCAGAAGGAAGCGAGCTCGGAGACTCAGAATCAACTAGAAAATCAGAACCAAAGAAAAAGCTTCCCAAAAGAAGAATTCAGAACACTAAAACATCAGACACTCACTGTAATCTGAATGTAATGAAAAGTCTTTTAAATGTGACACGTGCGGCAAATCTTTTAAGATAAAGTCAGAATTCGCATGTCCACAGAGGTAGGAAGACCCATACTTGCAATACTTGTGGGAAAATATGCGGTTCAAAATCAATACTGATAATTCATAAATAAACTCACACAGGTGAGAGGCCTTAGTCCTGCAGCATCTGCGATAAAAGATTCATCTGCCAGAGCACATTGAATCGTCACAACACGATTCATAAAGGTGAAAAGCTGTTTACCTGCACAACATGCAGCAAATCATTCAGATCAAAGGGTATTTTGACAATCCACATTAGAACACACACAGGTGAGAAGCCGTTTACCTGCACAACATGCAACAAAACTTTCAGAACAAAAAGTCATTTAACAGCCCACACTAGAATACACACAGGTGAGAGGCTGTTTACCTGCACAACATGCAACAAAACTTTTGTAACAAAAGATCATTTAATAGCCCACATATAGGAAAAGATTTACGATGCTAGCAACTTTGAATCGTCACATTCGCTCTCATACAGGTGAAAAGGAGTACACCTGTGGTACCTGTGGGTCATCATTCAGCAGGAGAGGTTATTTGAATAATCACATTGAACAAATTCATTCAAGTAAAAAGCCGTTTACCTGCACAACATGTAGCAAATTTTTTAGATTTAAAAAAAAGTTTGATAGTCCACATGCATGGACACAGGTGGGAGGCCGTTTACCTGCACAACATGCAGCAAATCTTTCACATTAAACAGAACTTTCACAACCCACATGAAAATACAGACAGGTGAGAGGCCTTTCTCCTGTAGCATCTGCAATAAAAGTTTCATTTGCAAATCAGTATTGAATTGGCACTACTCGATTCATGAAGGGGAACAGCTGTTTACCTGCACAACATGCAACAAGTCTTTCAGATTTAAAAGTAATTTAACAGGACACATGAGAACACACACAGGGGAGAAGCCTTACTCCTGAAGCACCTGTGGGAAAGGATTTGCGCTGCAGTCAACTTTGACTTGTTACATTCACTCTCATACAGGTGAAAAGCCATCCACTTGTGGTACATGAAAAGTCGTTTAAATAAGCACATAGAAATTCATGAAGGTTAAAATGGTTTACCTGCACAACGTGCAGCGGGTCAAAGTTTGTGGTGACCTGACGGTTCACATGAGAAGATCTCACACAGGTGAGATGCCGTACCTTTGTAAGTTCTGGAAAGATTCTTCGATTCTTTTTTTTGATCAGATGAAACCACATGCAGATAAGAAGTTATGAGTATGCAGATGTGATTTGGTTCAAGTGATGGCTCTGAATCAACACTGAGGATTTCTGTTCATCAGACCTGCAGATGCCCATGACTGACAATCAATAAATTGCATATTGTAACTTTTGATGTAAGTTGCCTAATCACAGTTTAGCTTATTTTAAGAAAAGTTACCGAGTTAACCCTTGTTTTTAAAGTACCGTTTCTTTTGATTTATAAGATTTATTTTTGGGGCGTTTAGCTTTTATTTGAAAGGACAGTGTGTTGAGTAGGAAACCCAGTCATCACAGAGTGGTGATTGACATTCATGAAAGGAGCCACAGGTCTGACCCTCACCCAGGACACCCACTTGGAGTATTATATCACCCATACATTTGGCACCCTGCATTGTATTGTTTTTAATTGTAAAGAAATATAAATCAATAAAATCATTACACAATCAATATTCTGGGTATTTCTTTGATTCCCTAACATGAAGTGTTTCTGAGTATCAAGATCCAAAAGGACACAGGCACACAGACTCAGAATCAACAAAAATTTCAGAACCCAAACCAAAGTTAGGCATGGAGTCCCACAAGGTTCTTTCCTTGGACCGATTCTCTTCTCATTCTCAGCTATACGTATCAATAAAGCCTGATGACCAATCAGTTATGTAAACTAGAAGCATGCCTGAAGTCAGGACCCGGTTGACCAGAAAATTTTGCTGCTTACCTCAGACAACTCTGAAGTTCTTGTGTTTGGCGCTAAAAACCTCAGAGAGACTTTCTAATGATATAACTGTTCTTAATGGCATCCACCTGGCATCTAGCACCAATGTTAGTATTCTAGGAGTTCTATTTGATCAAGATACTTTATGTCCTTCAACTGTCACATAAAACACATTTTAAGGACAGCCTATTTTTCACCTACGTAAAATATCTAAAATCAGGCATATCCTGTCACAAAATGATGCAGAAAAGCTACTTCATGCATTTTTTACCTCCAGGTTGGATTATTATAACTCTTTTACCAGGGTGCTCAGAAAGTCTCAAAGATCTACACTAGTCCAAAGTGCTGCAGCTCATGTAATGACTAGAAATAGGAAAAGGGAATACATTACTCCTGTATTGGCTTCTCTGTACAATATAGAATAGATATTCAAATCCTTCTTCTCACTTAAAAATCTCTAAATGGCCAGGCACCATCTTATCTTAAAGAGTTTATAGTGCCATATTACCATATTACCCTATAAGTACATTCACTCCCAGAATGTAAGCATGGTTGTGGTAGCTACAGTATCTAAATGTACTATGGGAGGTAGAGCCTTCAGTTATCAGGCCAGCTCATGTTACCTACTATATTCTCTAAATGTACTATGGGTGGTAGAGCCTTCAGTTATCAGGCCTGCTCGTGGTATAGTCTCTAAATGTACTATGGAAGGTAGAGCCTTCAGTTATCAGGCCTGCTCGTGGTACCTACAGTCTCTAAATGTACTAAGGGAGGTAGAGCCTTCAGTTAACAGGCCGACTCGTGGTACCTATATTCTCTAAATGTACTATGGGTGGTAGAGCCTTCAGCTATCAGGCCAGCTCATGTTACCTATATTCTCTAAATGTACTATGGGTGGTAGAGCCTTCAGTTATCAGGCCTGCTCGTGGTATAGTCTCTAAATGTACTATGGGTGGTAGAGCCTTCAGTTATCAGGCCTGCTCGTGGTACCTACAGTCTCTAAATGTACTAAGGGAGGTAGAGCCTTCAGTTATCAGGCCTGCTCGTGGTACCTACAGTCTCTAAATGTACTAAGGGAGGTAGAGCCTTCAGTTAACAGGCCAACTCGTGGTACCTATATTCTCTAAATGTACTATGGGAGATAGAGCCTTCAGTTAGCAGGCATACTTGTGATTCCTACAGTCTCTAAATGTAATGTGGGAAGTAGGTAGGGGTGTAACGGTACACAAACATTTCGGTTCGGTACGGTTCTCAGTCGAGAAGCTTCGGTTCGGTACATTTTCGGTACAGTAAAGGGACCTGATGCAACACTTTTTTTTCTTTATTAGGAACATTTAGAATTTTCCTTTTACACATTGGGCTAAGTGCAGCATCGCCAGTTCAGACTTGTACACCTGCTCAGGTTACTTTTTAATAACATTTTAAATTAAACATTTTAAAAAAAAAAACATAAAATTAACTCATGCTGCATCCTTCAAGCGAAAGAGTCTCCAATAAATAAAAGACATGAATGATATAAAGTAGTTTAGAATGAAATGAAGTAATTAATATAGCTTATATGTAAAAAAAAATCTTTTTAATTATAGTGACACCTTTTAGTTTATGAAGGCAACAGTTTATTGATTAATAAACCCTAATCACATCTGGGACAGTATAGTTTCATCGCAGAACTATTAATATTTCCCTCTGTCGATATAAGAACGTCAATGGCATTTGTTATGGCTTTGGTCCGTTCAGAATTACTAGCAAAAGGCTGTCTGTTTTTCCTAGTTGCAGTGATGTTTATGTTCGCGTGGTGCCTTTTCAAGTGCTTTAATAAGTTGGACGTGTTGCCTGCGACGTACCCGATGTCCGCTGAACAACGACGGCCCACTACTCTCGTCTTGTCAACGTCTCTTTGTCCCTTATTGTGGGAATGGGGAGGGAGGGTGTTCATTCTATCATGCTGCAGGTTATGCTCCCACACAGACGCGTCTCCCCCTCCCCTTTTGCGCCGCTGAGCTGTTGGAGCGGGATCATCGCTGAAAATGAAAACTAAACTTAAGAGTACATCCGTAAAAAGAACTCCATCCCGATTATATGCAACTGTCCAAACCGACAGGGCTCAATGAACTAGTAATCTGTACAGTTTGCACAGTTTATGTTTGAACTTTTTTACAAGTTACTAAGTAAAAGCTGTGTCCTATACCAGCGGCCGCAGCCTTCCTCCTCCCTGAGGTGTGCTTCCGCTTTGCGGTCCATGTGGGAGCACAGATTAAAGCACTTTCGTACTCGGATCAGTCCGCCTGCGGACTGGACAGAAGGCCCTGTACCGAAATGGTCGGGTCCGAGTATGTGTACCTTTACACCCCTAGAGGTAGAGCCTTCAGTTATCAGACCTGCTTGTGGACTACAGTCTCTAAATGTACTATGGGAGGTAGAGCCTTCAAATATCGGGCTGGCTCGTGGCACCTACAGTCTCTAAATGTACTATGGGAGGTAGAGCCTTCCATTATCAGGCTTGCTTGTGGTATTTACAGTCTCTAAGGGCGCACTCACACTGTGCAAAGTTGTACGTACTGTGCTTAAAGGGCCCATATTATGCTTTTTCTGGTGTTATATGCTCTTTAGTGTGTTTTCCAAGTGTCCTGTGCATGTTTAGGCACATCTATTTGCAAAAATTCAAAGTCCGCGTAAACGCGGCTTCTCCTACGTCCTCCTGTTATTTGTAGCATTAGCTGCATGTAACGCTCGGTTCTAGCCCCCTTCAAAAAAAATTGCCAGTGTGACGTCTTGTCAGTGTGAGATCACTGATCAAAGCCCATTGGCTCGTTGTGGCAAGCCCTGCAGCTCATGTTGCAGGCCCATTAACTTCTGTAGCACGCCCACGATATGCCGTAGCCTGCAGTAGCACAGTAGTGCTAAGCTGCTAATGTTTATGCTGCCCTCGGACGGAGCCAGTGGCTGCATTCAGAGAACCGTGCTGAGCGACTGACCAATTACAGCAGAGCCGACAGGCCGACCACTCAAATCACACTTAGAGAGAGAGTCAGAAGCGAGCCGGTGCATGGAGCGGCAGTACATGAAAACAGACACTTTTTTTTAACTTTAGCTATTGTGAACATACTTTAGTAGGTACATAGATTAAATATATGAACCCTAAAAATGGCATAATATGACCTCTTTAAGCACAATTGTCCCTGCCCATTCCATCACTGGCCTGCACTCACACTCCTCCAGGACTACCTGGGCTATGGAAACTATAAAAAACATGTAACGTTCATAAAATCAAAACAGAGCAGTATTAAAAAAAAATCATCCCCCGTACAGTGTGTGCCCACGATGACAATAACTAATCAGACCTATTTCTTTTTGCGTACCAGGTTGTAAACATGTTAACTTATGCTGCTTTTTTGCCTGTTGTCTTTATGTGACTTCTGATGTTCCTGGAGCCAGACTCAAGCGGACCCTCGACGAACCGCAGGATTTTGCACTTCTGCAATGGCTTCGTTTTCCAAGACCTGGGCCCTTTCTGAATAGCCACAGTTCAGTAGGCAGTACTATTCAGTAGGGAGGTTCAGTATACTGAACTCTCGTGGTCATTCAGTATGCATTTTTTGGGTCCACCTCAGTATACTGAACATTTCAGTATGAATACTAACTTCCGGGTTTTATGCAGTATGGATCGGATGCGTGCTTTCAAGAAATGAATTGTATATTACCACCCACAATGCTGTGCGAAATTAAACGTAAATCGTCACTTCACGTCACTTCTCCAAATCAAAACAAACAAGCATGGATTAATTTAATCAGTTTTTAATCTAGAGTTAAAGTCCCGTCTGAAATCACTACTTTAAATTAACAACAGAAAATAAAACAAATGTCTGCATTATTATAAAACCTTTCTCCCTCTATTTAAATAATGATTTCACCATTTAAATATGTCTTTATTGGTTTATTTTACTTTATATTCTGTATATTTCTGTCTTTCATTTGTACTTTCCTTTATGGAGGCTACTGTATGTTATTTAGTTATTTAATCTGTCTTTTACTTGATTTACATTGTGATGTTGTTTTTTGTTTACCTGACTGTATATGAGCATTACTCTTCTTGAATAAAGCTAAAAAAAACAAAAACAGGTGAATGCGGCCGGTTCGGGAAACGTAAATGACGTCACTTCCATACTTAATGAATCAGAAGAAGTAGGAACAAATATCTGCCTACTGTGCGCGCCTACTGAATAGTAGGTACTAAACAGTATACAGCACGGATAGTAGGTACTGTCTACTGACAGATTGAGTAGGTACTTGGCAATTCGGATGCAGCCCAGAGTTTGCCGCTTGGTTTAGTCATGAACACATATCAGTTTAAAACGGACCCAAAGAGCTGCCGCACCTCCGTTGTCGGTACTTTATAATGTGACACAAAGCGGAAGTACACAAACAAAAAGCACCAGTTCCGAAAGCAGCTACATCTCCTTTTAGACTTGTCTGCTGTCATAGTTCATCTTTTTTTTAACATTTAATAAAACAACAACAATGTGTTCAGCTGAGAGTCTGAGAGAGTTTGTCAACGAGCGACTAACGGCTGCTGCGGAAGACATTTTTGTAGTTTTTAAAAGAACTATCGTCGAGTACGAGGAAGAAATCGATCGTCAGCGCAGACTGCTGGATATAGATTTGAAACCTCAAATCACTTTACAGAACAGGTGAGGAACTAACAAACTAAACTGACAGAAAAATACAATGTAATATTACAGTATTAATTACTTTAATTCATGTTAGTAAAGTGACCTTATCAGACATTAAGGAAACATGCTATGTTGAAGTGCTGGCTTCTCTGACAACAATGCAGCAGTCAGTATGTCCTCCTTCTTCATTTTAATATTGGTCCTTAATGGCCTGGTTTTGTTTGGACCAGAGAAGGTAGGTGGTTCTAAGAAACCCTCAGATGGCCGTTTTGGACGCCCCTCAGTTTGCCAGATATGAGACCAGTTATCACGGTTAATAGAATAGAATAGAATAGAATAGAATAGAATAGAATGACTTTATTGATCCCAAACTGGGAAATTGTGGCGTTATAGCAGCAGGTTATCCAAACACACAATATTAGTAGAAAAACACAACATTAGCAAATCTAAACACAATATAATATTAAATACAAAGTGAATAAGCACTAAAAATATCAAAACTAAGAATGGGAATATATACAACTAGGATTTAACTTAGCATTACTAGTCTTAAATATGAAAGATTAAATGTACATGTGCAAAAAACAGAGTTGTAAATGGACAGTATTGACATAAGGAGATGTGCAATCAGTGATACATAAGTTAAAGTGCGTGAGTGTAGACATGTTATCAGCAGAGACTATTCAATATAACGGCGAGTAGACAGACAAATGAAATGAACTTGAGTGCAGGGATAATTTGTAAATTTAACATGTGCAAAACAGATTACAGTATGGAGAGACAGATATTATCATGATGACAGTTCTGTGCTCGCATGAGGTGAGCTGTTGTACAGAGTTATGGCCTTCGGTAGGAAAGATTTGCTGTATCAGACACACTTTTACCGTGGATTACGCATGAAAAACAAGAAAACTGGCGTTTTTTGGTTGCATCAAACTACAGAAAAGTGGCAGTATGACGTGCCTCAGGTCACATGATTGACATTGCACGTCCTGCTATGTGACACATGCACACATCAGAGTTGTGATGTAAAAACAAATTTACATTCATCCCTTTTTGCAGTGCAGCACATCTTTGTTTATGGATAATTGTCTGTGTCAATCTATCTGACGTTCCTACCAATAAAAAAGCCTTTGAGCTGTGACAGTCCCTTTGTTGTTGTGGGACACCTTAGTTAGTATAAATGCTTTTGTTTGTGTTCCTCCAGATGTTCCACAGCAACATGTCTGTAAGGAGGAGGAGGAGGTTTTGGTCGACCAGCAGCTCTGTAATCAGGAGAGGAACTCCAGTCCAGACCAAGAGGAGCCAGAGCCTCCACAGATTGAAGAGGAGCAGGAGGAACACTGCAGCAGTCAGGAGGGAGAGCAGCTCGTACTGAAGGAGACTGACACATCCATGTTGACTCTTACTCATGAGGAGAGAGACCACAGTGAAGCACAACTACTAAATGAACATCAGCCCATTTCTAACAGCTCTCATGATGCTGAAGATCAAGATCCCACAGGAAGTGAGCACATCAACAAGGGACTAACTTCTGCTGAAGACAAATTTGTAGTTTCAAAAAATACTAACGTCGCGTATGAGGGAGGGATCGATTGGAAGAGCAGACTGCTGGATATCGTTTGGAAACCTCACATCTACCTAAACAGAATAGGTGAGGAAAAAGCAAACTATGCTAAACTAATGCAAAGGGAGTTAGGGTTTATATTTGCTTCCTGTGGCGATGTAATCATTGAGAATAATGGAGAACAAGAATTTTAAAAAAAAACTACTGAGATATAACGCCTCAACATACTCTGCATTCTTCATTTTACTGTATTTCGTTTGTGTTCCTCCAGATGTTCCACAGCAACATGTCTGTAAGGAGGAGGAGGAGGTTCTGGTCAACCAGCAGCTCTGTAATCAGGAGAGGAACTCCAGTCCAGACCAAGAGGAGCCAGAGCCTCCACAGATTAAAGAGGAGCAGGAGGAACACTGCAGCAGTCAGGAGGGAGAGCAGCTCGTACTGAAGGAGACTGACACATCCATGTTGACTCTTACTCATGAGGAGAGAGACCACAGTGAAGCACAACTACTAAATGAACATCAGCCCATTTCTAACAGCTCTCATGATGCTGAAGATCAAGATCCAGAAGGAAGCGAGCTCGGAGACTCAGAATCAACTAGAAAATCAGAACCAAAGAAAAAACTTCCCAAAAGAAGAAGTAAGAACACTAAAACATCAGAAACTGACTGTAATCTTCACCAGGGGGAAAAGTCTTTTAAATATGACACATGCGGCAAATCTTTTAAGATAAAGTCAGGATTACAAAACCATCTTAGTGTCCACAGGGCTAAAGCGATGCATACTTGCAATACTTGTGGGAAAATATGCAGTTCAAAATCAGTGCTGATAATTCATAAAAGAACTCACACAGGTGAGAGGCCTTACTCCTGCAGCATCTGTGATAAAAGATTCATCTGCCAGAGGACATTGAATCGTCACAACACAATTCATAAAGGTGAAAAGCTGTTTACCTGCACAACATGCAGCAAATCATTCAGAAGAAAATGTCATTTAACAAGCCACATGACAACGCACACAGGTGAGAAGCCGTTTACCTGCACAACATGTGGGAAAAAATTCACTCAGAAACGGTCGTTAGGTTCACACATTCACATTCACACAGGTGAGGGGCTGTTGTTTACCTGCACAACATGCAACAAAGCTTTCAGAAAAAAAAGTCATTTAACAGACCACATTAGAATACACACAGGTGAGAAGCCGTTTACCTGCACAACATGCAGCAAATCATTCAGATTAAAACGTAATTTAACAATCCACATTAGAACACACACAGGTGAGAAGCCGTTTACCTGCACGACATGCAGCAAATCATTCAGATTCAAACGTAATTTAACAATCCACATTAGAACACACACAGGTGAGAAGCCCTATTCATGCAAAACATGTAAGAAAAAATTCACTCAGAAATCGTCCTTAAACTCACACATTCACATTCACACAGGTGAGAGGCTGTTAACCTGAAAAGATTAGATTTACGATGCCGGCAATTTAGAATCGTCACATTCGCTCTCATACAGGTGAAAAGGAGTACACCTGTGGCACCTGTGGGTCATCATTCAGCAGGAGAAGTTATTTGAATAATCACATTGAACAAATTAATTCAAGTAAAAAGCCGTTTTTCTGCACAACATGCAGCAAACCTTTCACATTCAACAGTACTTTGACAACCCACATGAAAATACAGACAGGTGAGAGGCCTTTCTCCTGTAGCATCTGCAATATAAGTTTCATTCGCAAATCAGTATTGAATTGGCACTACTCGATTCATGAAGGGGAACAGCTGTTTACCTGCACAACATGCAACAAGTCTTTCAGATTTAAAAGTAATTTAACAGGACACATGAGAACACACACAGGGGAGAAGCCTTACTCCTGAAGCACCTGTGGGAAAGGATTTGCGCTGCAGTCAACTTTGACTCGTCACATTCACTCTCATACAGGTGAAAAGCCATCCACTTGTGGTACATGTGGAAAGTCGTCTAGATAAGCACATAGAAATTCATGAAGGTTAAAATGGTTTACCTGCACAACGTGCAGCGGGTCAAAGTTTGTGGTGACCTGACGGTTCACATGAGAAGATCTCACACAGGTGAGATGCCGTACCTTTGTAAGTTCTGGAAAGATTCTTTGATTCTTTTTTTTGATCAGATGAAACCACATGCAGATAAGAAGTTATGAGTATGCAGATGTGATTTGGTTCAAGTGATGGCTCTGAATCAACACTGAGGATTTCTGTTCATCAGACCTGCAGATGCCCATGACTGACAATCAATAAATTGCACATTGTAACTTTTGATGTAAGTTGCCTAATCACAGTTTAGCTTATTTTAAGAAAAGTTACCGAGTTAACCCTTGTTTTTAAAGTACCGCTTCTTTTGATTTAGAAGATTTATTTTTGGGGCGTTTAGCTTTTATTTGAAAGGACAGTGTATTGAGTAGGAAACCCAGTCATCACAGAGTGGTGATTGACATTCATGAAAGGAGCCACAGGTCTGACCCTCACCCAGGACACCCACTTGGAGTATTATATCACCCATACATTTGGCACCCTGCATTGTATTGTTTTTAATTGTAAAGAAATATAAATCAATAAAATCATTACACAATCAATATTCTGGGTATTTCTTTGATTCCCTATTAAACAAGGGTGTAATAAGCAGAATAACTTGTAGTGTTTCTGAGAATCAAGATCCAAAAGGACACAGGCACACAGACTCAGAATCAACAAAAATTATTGAACCCAAACCAAAGTTAGGCATGGAGTCCCACAAGGTTCTTTCCTTGGACCGATTCTCTTCTCATTCTCAGCTATACGTATCAATAAAGCCTGATGACCAATCAGTTATGTAAACTAGAAGCATGCCTGAAGTCAGGACCCGGTTGACCAGAAAATTTTGCTGCTTACCTCAGACAACTCTGAAGTTCTTGTGTTTGGCCCTAAAAACCTCAGAGAGACTTTCTAATGATATAACTGTCCTTAATGGCATCCACCTGGCATCTAGCACCAATGTTAGTATTCTAGGAGTTCTATTTGATCAAGATACTTTATGTCCTTCAACTGTCACATAAAACACATTTTAAGGACAGCCTATTTTTCACCTACGTAAAATATCTAAAATCAGGCATATCCTGTCACAAAATGATGCAGAAAAGCTACTTCATGCATTTTTTACCTCCAGGTTGGATTATTATAACTCTTTTACCAGGGTGCTCAGAAAGTCTCAAAGATCTACACTAGTCCAAAGTGCTGCAGCTCATGTAATGACTAGAAATAGGAAAAGGGAATACATTACTCCTGTATTGGCTTCTCTGTACAATATAGAATAGATATTCAAATCCTTCTTCTCACTTAAAAATCTCTAAATGGCCAGGCACCATCTTATCTTAAAGAGTTTATAGTGCCATATTACCTTTCAAGTACATTCACTCCCAGAATGTAAGCATGGTTGTGGTAGCTACAGTATCTAAATGTACTATGGGTGGTAGAGCCTTCAGTTAACAGGCCGACTCGTGGTTCTTATATATTCTCTAAATGTACTATGTGAGGTAGAGCCTTCAGTTATAAGGCCTGCTCGTGGCAACTGCAGTTTCTAAATGTACTAATGGAGGTAGAGCCTTCAGTTATCAGGCCTGCTCGTGGCAACTGCAGTTTCTAAATGTACTAAGGGAGGTAGAGCCTTCAGTTAACAGGCCGGCTCGTGGTACCTACAGTCTCTAAATGTACTATTGGAGGTAGATCCTTCACTGTTAGGCTGGCTCGTGGCATGAACAGTCTCTAAATGTACTATGGGAGGTAGAGCCTTCAGTTATCAGGCTTGCTTATGGTATTTACAGTCTCTAAGGGCGCACTCACACTGTGCAAACTTATATCGTACTGTGCTTAAAGGGCCCATATTATGCTTTTTCTGGTGTTATATGCTCTTTAGTGTGTTTTCCATGTGTCCTGTGCATGTTTAGGCACATCTATTTGCAAAAATTCAAAGTCTGCGTAAACGCGGCTTCTCCTACGTCCTCCCATTAGCTGTAGCATTAGCTGCTTGTAACGCTCGGTTCTAGCCCCCCTCAAAAAAAATTGCCAGTGTGACGTCTTGTCAGTGTGAGATCACTGATCTAAGCCCATTGGCTCGTTGTGGCAAGCCCTGCAGCTCATGTTGCAGGCCCATTAACTTCTGTAGCACGCCCACGATATGCCGTAGCCTGCAGTAGCACAGTCGTGCTAAGGTGCTAATGTTTATGCTGCCCTCGGACGGAGCCAGTGGCTGCATTCCGAGAACCGTGCTGAGCGACTGACCAATTACAGCAGAGCCGACAGGCCGACCACTCAAATCACACTTGGCACACGTGGGGACTCTGAACGTGGGCACTTCAGAGCCTTAGAGAGAGAGTCAGAATCAGGCCGGTGCATGGAGCGGCAGTACATGAAAACAGACACTTTTTTTTAACTTTAGCTATTGTGAACATACTTTAGTAGGTACATAGATTAAATATATGAACCCTAAAAATGGCATAATATGACCTCTTTAAGCACAATTGTCCCTGCCCATTCCATCACTGGCCTGCACTCACACTCCTCCAGGACTACCTGGGCTATGGAAACTATAAAAAACATGTAACGTTCATAAAATCAAAACAGAGCAGTATTAAAAAAAAATCATCCCCCGTACAGTGTGTGCCCACGATGACAATAACTAATCAGACCTATTTCTTTTTGCGTACCAGGTTGTAAACATGTTAACTTATGCTGCTTTTTTGCCTGTTGTCTTTATGTGACTTCTGATGTTCCTGGAGCCAGACTCAAGCGGACCCTCGACGAACCGCAGGATTTTGCACTTCTGCAATGGCTTCGTTTTCCAAGACCTGGGCCCTTTCTGAATAGCCACAGTTCAGTAGGCAGTACTATTCAGTAGGGAGTTTCAGTATACTGAACTCTCGTGGTCATTCAGTATGCATTTTTTGGGTCCACCTCAGTATACTGAACATTTCAGTATGAATACTAACTTCCGGGTTTTATGCAGTATGGATCGGATGCGTGCTTTCAAGAAATGAATTGTATATTACCACCCACAATGCTGTGCGAAATTAAACGTAAATCGTCACTTCACGTCACTTCTCCAAATCAAAACAAACAAGCGTGGATTAATTTAATCAGTTTTTAATCTAGAGTTAAAGTCCCGACTGAAATCACTACTTTAAATTAACAACAGAAAATAAAACAAATGTCTGCATTATTATAAAACCTTTCTCCCTCTATTTAAATAATGATTTCACTATTTAAATATGTCTTTATTGGTTTATTTTACTTTATATTCTGTATATTTCTGTCTTTCATTTGTACTTTCCTTTATGGAGGCTACTGTATGTTATTTAGTTATTTAATCTGTCTTTTACTTGATTTACATTGTGATGTTGTTTTTTGTTTACCTGACTGTATATGAGCATTACTCTTCTTGAATAAAGCTAAAAAAAACAAAAACAGGTGAATGCGGCCGGTTCGGGAAACGTAAATGACGTCACTTCCATACTTAATGAATCAGAAGAAGTAGGAACAAATATCTGCCTACTGTGCGCGCCTACTGAATAGTAGGTACTAAACAGTATACAGCACGGATAGTAGGTACTGTCTACTGACAGATTGAGTAGGTACTTGGCAATTCGGATGCAGCCCAGAGTTTGCCGCTTGGTTTAGTCATGAACACATATCAGTTTAAAACGGAACCAAAGAGCTGCCGCACCTCCGTTGTCGGTACTTTATAATGTGACACAAAGCGGAAGTACACAAACAAGAGCGCCAGTTCCGAAAGCAGCTACATCTCCTTTTAGACTTGTCTGCTGTCATAGTTCATCTTTTTTTTAACATTTAATAAAACAACAACAATGTGTTCAGCTGAGAGTCTGAGAGAGTTTGTCAACGAGCGACTAACGGCTGCTGCGGAAGACATTTTTGTAGTTTTTAAAAGAACTATCGTCGAGTACGAGGAAGAAATCGATCGTCAGCGCAGACTGCTGGATATAGATTTGAAACCTCACATCACCTTATACAGAACAGGTGAGGAACTAACAAACTAAAATGACAGAAAAATACAATGTAATATTACAGTATTAATTACTTTAATTCATGTTAGTAAAGTGACCTTATCAGACATTAAGGAAACATGCTATGTTGAAGTGCTGGCTTCTCTGACAACAATGCAGCAGTCAGTATGTCCTCCTTCTTCATTTTAATATTGGTCCTTAATGGCCTGGTTTTGTTTGGACCAGAGAAGGTAGGTGGTTCTAAGAAACCCTCAGATGGCCGTTTTGGACGCCCCTCAGTTTGCCAGATATGAGACCAGTTATCACGGTTAATAGAATAGAATAGAATGACTTTATTGATCCCAAACTGGGAAATTGTGGCGTTATAGCAGCAGGTTATCCAAACACACAATATTAGTAGAAAAACACAACATTAGCAAATCTAAACACAATATAATATTAAATACAAAGTGAATAAGCACTAAAAATATCAAAACTAAGAATGGGAATATATACAACTAGGATTTAACTTAGCATTACTAGTCTTAAATATGAAAGATTAAATGTACATGTGCAAAAAACAGAGTTGTAAATGGACAGTATTGACATAAGGAGATGTGCAATCAGTGATACATAAGTTAAAGTGCGTGAGTGTAGACATGTTATCAGCAGAGACTATTCAATATAACGGCGAGTAGACAGACAAATGAAATGAACTTGAGTGCAGGGATAATTTGTAAATTTAACATGTGCAAAACAGATTACAGTATGGAGAGACAGATATTATCATGATGACAGTTCTGTGCTCGCATGAGGTGAGCTGTTGTACAGAGTTATGGCCTTCGGTAGGAAAGATTTGCTGTATCAGACACACTTTTACCGTGGATTACGCATGAAAAACAAGAAAACTGGCGTTTTTTTGGTTGCATCAAACTACAGAAAAGTGGCAGTATGACGTGCCTCAGGTCACATGATTGACATTGCACATCCTGCTATGTGACACATGCACACATCAGAGTTGTGATGTAAAAACAAATTTACATTCATCCCTATTTGCAGTGCAGCACATCTTTGTTTATGGATAATTGTCTGTGTCAATCTATCTGACGTTCCTACCAATAAAAAAGCCTTTGAGCTGTGACAGTCCCTTTGTTGTTGTGGGACACCTTAGTTAGTATAAATGCTTTTGTTTGTGTTCCTCCAGCTCTCCCACAGCAACATGTGAGTAAGGAGGAGGAGGAGGTTCTGGTCGACCAGCAGCTCTGTAATCAGGAGAGGAACTCCAGTCCAGACCAAGAGGAGCCAGAGCCTCCACAGATTGAAGAGGAGCAGGAGGAACACTGCAGCAGTCAGGAGGGAGAGCAGCTCGTACTGAAGGAGACTGACACATCCATGTTGACTCTTACTCATGAGGAGAGAGACCACAGTGAAGCACAACTACTAAATGAACATCAGCCCATTTCTAACAGCTCTCATGATGCTGAAGATCAAGATCCCACAGGAAGTGAGCACATCAACAAGGGACTAACTTCTGCTGAAGACAAATTTGTAGTTTCAAAAAATACTAACGTCGCGTATGAGGGAGGGATCGATTGGAAGAGCAGACTGCTGGATATCGTTTGGAAACCTCACATCTACCTAAACAGAATAGGTGAGGAAAAAGCAAACTATGCTAAACTAATGCAAAGGGAGTTAGGGTTTATATTTGCTTCCTGTGGCGATGTAATCATTGAGAATAATGGAGAACAAGAATTAAAAAAAAAACTACTGAGATATAACGCCTCAACATACTCTGCATTCTTCATTTTACTGTATTTCGTTTGTGTTCCTCCAGATGTTCCACAGCAACATGTCTGTAAGGAGGAGGAGGAGGTTCTGGTCGACCAGCAGCTCTGTAATCAGGAGAGGAACTCCAGTCCAGACCAAGAGGAGCCAGAGCCTCCACAGATTAAAGAGGAGCAGGAGGAACACTGCAGCAGTCAGGAGGGAGAGCAGCTCGTACTGAAGGAGACTGACACATCCATGTTGACTCTTACTCATGAGGAGAGAGACCACAGTGAAGCACAACTACTAAATGAACATCAGCCCATTTCTAACAGCTCTCATGATGCTGAAGATCAAGATCCAGAAGGAAGCGAGCTCGGAGACTCAGAATCAACTAGAAAATCAGAACCAAAGAAAAAACTTCCCAAAAGAAGAAGTAAGAACACTAAAACATCAGAAACTGACTGTAATCTTCACCAGGGGGAAAAGTCTTTTAAATATGACACATGCGGCAAATCTTTTAAGATAAAGTCAGGATTACAAAACCATCTTAGTGTCCACAGGGCTAAAGAGATGCATACTTGCAATACTTGTGGGAAAATATGCAGTTCAAAATCAGTGCTGATAATTCATAAAAGAACTCACACAGGTGAGAGGCCTTACTCCTGCAGCATCTGTGATAAAAGATTCATCTGCCAGAGCACATTGAATCGTCACAACACAATTCATAAAGGTGAGAAGCTGTTTACCTGCACAACATGCAGCAAATCATTCAGAAGAAAATATCATTTAACAATCCACATTAGAACACACACAGGTGAGAAGCCCTATTCATGCAAAACATGTGAGAAAAAATTCACTCAGAAATCGTCCTTAAGTTCACACATTCACATTCACACAGGTGAGGGGCTGTTGTTTACCTGCACAACATGCAACAAAGCTTTCAGAAAAAAAAGTTATTTAACAGACCACATTAGAATACACACAGGTGAGAAGCCGTTTACCTGCACAACATGCAGCAAATCATTCAGATTCAAACGTAATTTAACAATCCACATTAGAACACACACAGGTGAGAAGCCGTTTACCTGCACGACATGCAGCAAATCATTCAGATTCAAACGTAATTTAACAATCCACATTAGAACACACACAGGTGAGAAGCCCTATTCATGCAAAACATGTAAGAAAAAATTCACTCAGAAATCGTCCTTAAACTCACACATTCACATTCACACAGGTGAGAGGCTGTTAACCTGAAAAGATTAGATTTACGATGCCGGCAATTTAGAATCGTCACATTCGCTCTCATACAGGTGAAAAGGAGTACACCTGTGGCACCTGTGGGTCATCATTCAGCAGGAGAAGTTATTTGAATAATCACATTGAACAAATTCATTCAAGTAAAAAGCCGTTTTTCTGCACAACATGCAGCAAACCTTTCACATTCAACAGTACTTTGACAACCCACATGAAAATACAGACAGGTGAGAGGCCTTTCTCCTGTAGCATCTGCAATATAAGTTTCATTCGCAAATCAGTATTGAATTGGCACTACTCGATTCATGACGGGGAACAGCTGTTTACCTGCACAACATGCAACAAGTCTTTCAGATTTAAAAGTAATTTAACAGGACACACGAGAACACACACAGGGGAGAAGCCTTACTCCTGAAGCACCTGTGGGAAAGGATTTGCGCTGCAGTCAACTTTGACTCGTCACATTCACTCTCATACAGGTGAAAAGCCATCCACTTGTGGTACATGTGGAAAGTCGTCTAGATAAGCACATAGAAATTCATGAAGGTTAAAATGGTTTACCTGCACAACGTGCAGCGGGTCAAAGTTTGTGGTGACCTGACGGTTCACATGAGAAGATCTCACACAGGTGAGATGCCGTACCTTTGTAAGTTCTGGAAAGATTCTTTGATTCTATTTTTTACAGCATTACATGTGTTAAATGTTAAAGTGGATATTTCTGTGACTCAATATAATATTCATGTTTACTTTTTTCATTCAGAGTTCAACACAGTTAGATGTGGCCAAAAGTGCCAACCAAGTAGGCTACCCTCTGAAATGGTCTTTCAGGGAATCTAGCTTGGCTTTCTCAGCAAAACGCCATGTTGTTCAGAGTTCGTTTTCACCTGGAGCACAAAATCCTGAACACCATATAACTATAGGCTACTCAGGACTTAAGAATGATATCATTGTCATATCTTTTGTCATCATATGTGCATCATTGAATTTATACTATTAATTTCACATTTTGTTTTACTATAGTACAGAAGATTTCTACTGGATTCTGGTTCCCGTTTGGTGCCCAGGTGGTAGATATATGTTAGTGACATGTTTTTATTTGTCATTATAGCTGGACACTTTTACGAAACGTGATCAGTATCAGTGTTTGACGTATAGGCTCAAAGTTAGTATTTGTGTTATCTTTATTCTGGTAACTATTTATAATGAAGCCACAGTACAGATAAATCTTTGTTTAGATTTCCTTAATGGCACAGGGTTTCAGGATGAACACTAACTGGAAACATTAAGGTTATTAGGACAAAAGATGTGTTTAGTTCAATGTTTAGTTCTTTACTAATACTTTGTGATGGAGTCACCCTTTGATATCCATTGAAGTAGACCTCAGAGAGACCCATTTGCCTTTTTAATTAAATATGTGTCTTGTTTGTGTAGTGCACATACTGGTCCGGGGCTCTTACTAATGTTACATCTTTAAACACGGATCTGACAGAATGGACACTTATACTAGACTGAGTTTGAGAGGTGGCAGTACTGTCACTTAATATGTCGAACAAGTCACTATGCACCTTTGTCATATCATCATTAAATCATTCAGTGCATTAGCAAGCTCTGTGTGTGATTTAAAACCGTCCATGTTGATCCCCCCCTTTGTTCTTATTGTCCTGGCCAGTCATGGTTTTCATACCATCCCACACTGCCTTTAGGTTATTACTGTGAAATTCGTCCTCTATTTTATTCTTAAAGTGGAGCTTAGCCCTCTTGATTTCATATCTGGCCTCTTTCTGAGCTTCTGCTTTCTCCACAACCCCACCATGCACAAACGTGTCATGTTTCCTGTGCAGTGCTATATGTGTTATATTTTAGGATTATCAAGGCACAAGAATTAAAGTGTCAGAGGAAATGGCGTACAGTTTGTTGCCTCTACCTCTTCATTGTTAAGAGAGCAATTATGGATTATTATTTGTATTTATTTTCCTAAATAAAGCATGTTCTTTGAAAAAATGTGTTCTGATTATAACAATAATTATTTCATAATAATGAACAAAATAACTAAACAATAAAGCTAAAAATGAATATACTAATACAAGTTATTCACATTCATATCTAATTATGAGTTTGTATTTCTTTCGCAAATATTGAATACGGTCTCCTGAGGCCACAGAATTACAACAGCAACAGTAATGACTTCCTATGAAACTGAGTAATTGAACAATGAAGCTCAAACAAATAAGATCATTGTTATTGTTTATTGTTGTCAGTATCATAATAATGAACATATTTATATATACAGTATTTATAGGTGTATTTGTAGTTCTTGCGCTCATCCAGCAGATGGTGCTGTTTGTGTCACAACATCCATTCACGCCAGCCCATGCCCATCTGATATCCGCCGCCCGGTGTATCCAATAAGAACAGTGAAGGGGAGGCATCTGATCCCGCCCCATTCCACGATCTACGCAGGGAGTGCACCAGAGCAGTTGGGGGTCAGTGAGCGCTGAAGGTGATATCAGAGAGAGAGACCACAGTGAAGCACAACTACTAAATAAACACCAGCCCATTTCTAACAACTCTCATGATGCTGAGGATCAAGATCCAGAAGGAAGCGAAAATGTTCTCATTATGATAGAAATAATACTAATTTTGGATATAAAACTAAAGCTGAAAACAGAACAAAAAGCCGCACAAAAAACAAACGTTTTGCTTTGTCTTCTTTTTCTCGTTGTTAAATGGCAGATGACCAGCCTCAAGGTGCATAACCGCAAGCTGCCGCCACCTACTGACTATTTATAAACAAGCCAACAAACATGTTATTTAAGGCTCCAGTCTGTAAGATATCTGCTGATTGAAATTATAAAGTGACCATTATCAGACTTTAAGGAAACATGCTGTGTTGAAATGCTGGCTTCTCTGACAACAATGCAGCAGTCAGTATGTCCTCCTTCTAACTTTAGATTCTGCTCCTGAATGCTCTGGATTTGTTTGGACCAGAGAAGGTAGGCGGTTTTAAGGTGCCCCCACACGGCCATTTTGGACGCCCCTCAGTTTGTCAGATATGAGAGCAGTTATCAGGTCAACAGGTGTTGCAGTGATGGAAGCGGGCAAGAGAAGTGGTTCAGATAGAAGTGATTGTACCCGACCTAAAAAGCCTCTGCATGTTTCTAATAAGCTCCACGAGCAGAAACGTGCTCAAACTAGGATCAATATTGGAGATGCTTTTGAAAAATGGAGAGAGGTTAGAACACAGAAAGGTTTACAGACATGCAGAGCTGGATAAACACTGAAGCTTCAGGGTCCACCACATGGTGACCTGTGTGAGCATGGACTCTAGAGAGGAGGGGGCGGGGGAGACAGCTCTCTACAATGTTTAGAATTTGGCTGGAGTACCACTTTGAAACACTACTGCAAGAGCCTACCCTAGTGGCCAGTCTGAGTAAGCTGATGTGAAACGAAGCAGGATATTATCTGGAGAATTCACCTCGATCGAGTGGGAAGGGATGGTGGCGTTTATATCCTGTATTAAACTGCTGCATCATGTTTTCTCTTCTCCAGTATGATCTTCTCCGCTCTTTTGTAGATATTGTGATTCCCTTGAACTACACTTAGCATTGATATAAAGGTAGATACTCTCATTATTGCATTCTATAGCGGACTCTGTTGCTTCGTCTGCCACTTCCATATAGTTTTTTTATACATATTTGTCTTTGTTCTCACATGCACCTCCCACTGTGAGGTGAATGTGAGAACAATCAGGTCAGGAGAATTTCAGGAAGCATTCCTCCTGAAATTACAGCCGAACGCTTTATTTCAAGGGTTTAGAATAAATGCTCAAACGGCCTTCCAAAGTTTCGATCTTATTTCTTTTTAACTTTCAGTTTCATTTCCTCGCAATCTGGTCATAAACCGAGTCATTGCTGTTGCAGAGAGGAACAAGAGCAGCCCTGCTTGAAGCAAAGGTAACTTACGGAAACAAATACCAGGATGAGTTCAGACATCTCAGGATTCATCAGGAAGACTCTGTGTGATAACCGGGGCTGTCTAGACTTCACGAGCCTGGACGAGAAGATAAAACAGAGTCACAGAGTTACAGATTCAGCCCTGAGCAAACTCCTCTTCGACGACGATAAGATATGTATGAAAGAGGGCAAGCAGAAGGTCCGAGGAGGTCAGACCATCAGCCCGGATAGTCTGATCGTGGCTAAAACCAGTCTGCGGCTCTGTCAGAAGAAACCCGGAGAGTGTCCACAGTGCGACGGCTTACACCTGTGCAGGTACTATGTCTCCGGTGGATGCACGTATGGGTAAGTATCCACCTCTGGTTCGACATTTTTGTTACACTGTTTAGGGCGTGAACACACTTTTGTCATCATTTTGTTGATATCACATATTTCTTGGTAAAGCTCCTCTAACTCCCAGCATGTGCAGAGGGCTGATATGCTGTGATTAGAACTTCTTTGTTATATTCAACACAAACAGTGAACACAAAAAAATGCCTTTTCCTAATACCTGGTTTAATGTACAATGTATGTTGTTCAGTTACAGATTACACAAGTTAATTTTTACATCATGCCAGTTGTTGTGGACCAATCAGACAATGACGTGGAAAGCAAGAATCTATTGGGGGGCCACATTATGTCTCCCAGTGTCCCGACACTAAAGGCCATTGCACACTCCGACAAAAAAATTACATTTTGGGCGACTGATTTGGTTTCATAGTTTGGTTTACGTTTGTGAGCCCTCAGGAGTTACCTGCCTTGCCCGCTGAGAAGCAGCGCCTCTGTATGCTGAAATATATTTTGTATCATTCACCCGACAAATCCAAATAAAGGTCTTATTTTAAGATATTTTAAGAAAGCTAAAAGTCCGTCCTGAATAAAAATCTCAGGCTGTTTTTTTGAAACTGTCTACTGCACTGGCAGTACATAATATGCAGTATCCACCAGGGGGCAGAAGACAAGTATCAGATTGTATACAACAGGTTTCGAGCAAAGTTTTTACCATATGGTAATGCAATAGATCTCAGAAATGTATGTATCAAATATGGGGTATGTACTGATGTTCTGATTCTGCCCAAAAGAAGTATACAAACTAATACGAGATCCGCAGTATGCCAAAAATACCCGGGTGTGTCTGATGCATCAGACCAGTCTCCCTCTTGTACTGTTTCCCACAATGCATAGCATCAGGTAAGATATCTAAATGACGGACAGCAACAAGGGAAATAATCACAATCAGACCAAACCACACAAAGATACCACCAAATATATATTGACTCAAATCTAAATGAGTCTCTTGTCAGCTTTTTTCAGACTGTAAAAAAAGACTGGATGCTTCACT